AGTAAAAGTACACATGAAGGATTCAAACAGTATTGAAACCATTATGGAAGTCTATTAGAATAGGGGAAGACCCCAAAAATAACAACATTTATTAATCATAAAATAAACAAAACAAAACTGCAGCTTCTTTCCTTTTTTAAAAGATTAAACTCAGTTGCTTTCAGGAGAACCTGCAAAATAAAGACTTGCTCAACAAATGGACCTCCAACTTGAAATTTCAGCTCATCCATCACTGCAGCCACAGCACCAGCACTGCTATGAGAATACATGCATGAAGAGCAGAGCACTGCTCCAGCATTTATCATGTTATAGGCAGGAACGCTGCCTGGGCAGCAGTCCAGAACACCTCGCAGAGCTCAGGGAGGATAACTGCATCAAAGGTTGAGATATTAAAGGCGTGGCTCGTGTTTAGATGGTCACCCACCTGTCCAAATCAGTGATCTCCTGTCAGAAGAGGGAAATACTCACATAAATGTGAGCAATTACCTCATTCTATCAAAAAAAATAACTTTAAAGAAAGTTTCAGTGTGACCTTTTCCCCACAATAACAATAACCCAATCATGATCTATTAACAGAAGGTTTTATTCTGTTACAGACACTAACAGGACACTAGTTGTGACGATTTATAATGAAAGAAAAATCATTTTTCTAAGGAATTCTAAGTTCAGCCAGAGGCGTGGATTTAAGGGATTTAATATTTTACAATATTTTATAAATATGTACCCGTAATGGATGACTTGTCGTGACATTTTAGTGCAGAGATACTCAGAGCAGAGATGATCTACCAAGTGGTGAGCTCAACTTTTTCACCGTCGTAACTGCGAGGGTGACATTTGTGTTTTGGCACGGTACTCATCTAACGTTGGCGTTTTTAACCTTTTCTTGCATAAAGCAGCTTTACAGAAAGTCAAACTATGATATATTTTTAAGTGCAAATAAAAAATACCACTTTGTTTCAAAATTTGTAGCTTTCAAACCACTCCTGTATCACCTTTATCCATTAGAAAATAAAGACTTAAGCAGGCGGTCTGTTCAACACTGATTTATATGTTAACATTTCTGACTTTGTTGTTTAAGCTAGAGTTTCTTGTGCATTTAATTTTTACATTTTATCATGCACCCACTTCTTAAATGCCCAGAAGCAAAGGCTCATGAAATGAGTCATAAGGGTCAGAAGGTTATTAAACATAAACAATAAAATTATATTGTGAATGATTTGGTCTATGGCACTGAGTCAAAACTAAACATTAAATATTGTTTGTTAGCACAGTGAGTACACTGCTTGGTATTCTCTGCAAAAGAAATTGATTGTTTTTTAGTTATTTTTAATTAGGACTTTGTGCAGCGTGTGAAGCAAATTTGCAATTTTTCTTGGGTAAATTTAACAATGAGTTCCAACCAGAAACAAAAATCTGAAATTATGGACAATGTGTAAATTTGTATATTTGACAGTAAGAGCTTAAAGACAAGATTTAAACTAGAACGAAATTAGTCAATCATGTCATCACAGTTCCTTTTTTATAACTAAGCAAATAAACAAACAGCCATCCATTCATTATTTTTACCCATTTCTTCCTCAAACAAAAAAACAACAACAAAAAACCCCAACTATAATAAACTCATTTGAAAAAATAAAAATTAAATTAAAAACAGTATATTAAGGAGCTGAGAAATGACTGCAAAGGTGTTTTTGAAAAAAATATTAATGTTTAGGTAAGGTGGCTCAGCCGGTAGAGCTGCTGCCTCTCAGTGAGAAGGTTGCTGGTTCAAATCCCAGTTGGGAGCCTTTCTGGGTGGAGTTTGCATGTTCTCTCCGTGCATGCGTGGGTTTCCTCCGCGTACTCCGGTTTCCTCCCACAGACCAAAAACATGCATGTTAGGCTGATTGGTAACTCTAAATTGTCCCTGGGTGCGAGTGAGAGTGTGAATGTTTTTTTGTCTCGTTTGTTTCTATGTGTCCCTGTGTTGGACTTGGACCTGTCCAGGGTGTCCCCACCTCTCACAGTGATAGCTGAACATGAGCACCAGTGACCCCCGCAACCCAAAAAGGAAGAAGAGGTTAAAGATAATGGATGGATGAATATTAATGTTTATTTTAAATGTATTGCATTTCCTGTTTATTAACATGAATGGGGGCGGAGCTTAATACTAGGTCTGTCATGATAACAAATTTTGCTGGGCAATTAATTGTCTCAGAAATTATTGCAAGAAACGATAATATTGTTTGAAATTTGACAGTAATTAGCAATTATTGTTAAATTTAAGAAGAAATGTTGGTTAATTTATTTTGCGTGCAGTACCTTTTTTGATCACCGGATGACAGTATAAGACTGTTTGAACCGAAGGATGGATAGTGAGGGAGGGAGCAGCGTGTCTCTTTACAAAAAATGGGAGGGAGGCCTCTTGACGTGACATGGGCTGTCCTTGTTTTAAGTTCTCAAAATGGCAGACAGTCGGTGTGTTTTGAGCTCTTTAGCATAGCATTTTTCACACAAAGCTTTTAATCAATAATCAGTAAACAAGTTCTCAGCTTCTTTTTGCAGAGAAAAGCAACTTTTTACACGAAGGCACGGGTTTAAAGCGTGAATTTTGGAGCTTCGACAAGACGGAGGTTTTTTACCCTGAGATCAGCCTGTTAGCTTAGCTCGTAGCTTAGCTTCTCAGCTTAGCTGCTTTTAGCAAAGAGAGAAGCAAAGAGAAGAAACGATAAAGCCGATAAATGAAAATGAGGTCAATAATTCATTTATCATGCGATTAATTGATTTATGTTTATTGCGACAGGCCTACTTGCTACCTATACTGCAGGCAGCCGTCAAAGGGCACTCATTTTGTTTGGATTTTGTTTCCTTAAAGGCTTTTGATCATTCATCATATTACGGTGTATAACATTTGTTTGTCTAACTACTAATCCGTAGCACATAATATTTTTAAAGTAACTTCTGACATTCTGTTGAGAGCAGTTTCTTATGACCAGTCTGACCAGTCCCTGTAAACTTCCTGAGTTCAGTAAGCCTTGTTGCCTCTGACAACCATCCTTGCTCATTCTGATATACGCTCAGTGTTTAATACGTCTGGAGAGTCAAGAGAGAACTGAATAAAGAACCACAACCTGAGCCGTCACCACCTTTGACCTTTATGACACACACACACACACACACACACACACACACACACACACACACACGCACACACACGCACACACACACACACACACAGAGGGTTGACTTTGCATGGACTCTACGAGACCTTATAGCACAGAGAACATTAGTTCGAGCAAATAACCTTTCTGCCCAATAAATATCAGAGAACATCTTTGTCTAGAACGTCAGTAATTAATTTTGCAGTGGGTGATTTTACAACTTCAGACATGCTCTGTCACCTTCGTGTCACTGTGAACAGCACATAACTGTCATGCACGCTGTAACGCACTCAATTACTTTTAATTACACTAAGATTAGGTGATTTTTTTTTAAACAGATTGACTTTAAAAGTTAAAAACATTAGTGAGGATTCAACATGTGCATGAACTGTAAACCTCATCCAGCAGAGAGTTCTGATCCACAAACAGAGCAAGCACCAAAGTGACCCCATTCATCGAGCTCATCAGCGTCCCCTCTGACAAATGTCACAGCTTTTCATTTATCATCTGCCGAGGCCAGAACCGTCTCCATCTGTGCAGATTTCCCTCGACACGACTAAAACTGTGCCATAATGGCCATTTGCTCATATTAAACGAATGGCTGGACGATTGTTTCGCCCCTTCCAAAAACATGTACTAAAAGAGTCTAACACTGTTTTACCATCTTCAGCTGTTTCAAAGATCGACGCAGTTAAAGACAGGAATAAGAGTGAGGACGGTGAAAGCACGGCAACACATTACTGTGTGCTACAGTGAATGATCACAATAATAAAAATGCTTATTGCGTGTTTTAGTGCAAATGCAGGATTCATGAAACGTGCAACCCAAGGACAATACCACAGACGTAACACATTAAAGTGAAAATAACAAATAAATATGAACGTGAAAAGCTGCGAGGATGAATCCCTCAGACGTCATCATGAATCACTCGCACCGCCACCGAAGACCCGAAAGGTGAAACACATTTTCTTATTTCAACAGTAATTCATTCAGGAGTCGTACGAGCATTTCCTCGTGAATTCATCTGTCGTGCTGCAGGAACGTAGTGGAGATAAACGTCATCGTGAAAGAATCATTTCATGGCTTTTTACACATTCACTGTGATTTATTGAACAACCGCCGAACCTCCGAGGTCACAATTCAAAGCAAAGGGCCCAAATATATATTTTGAAAGCCGAAACAAACAAAAAAGAAAATTCAAAGATCTGGTGAATTGAACATTCTCCCCAAAACATAAACCAAAAAGCAACATCTACTAAAAAAAAACTGTAACATTGTGAATGCCTGAGAGAATTTCAGAAAAACATCCCAGCATCAGCCAGCAATCGCTCTTCATCTTGGTTCAGATTTGGTGCTGATGAAATGCTGCTCCTCCGTCTTGGCACAGAGACAATATTGTGACGTGGAGGGGGAGGGATGGGGGGGGGGGGGGTGCAGCCTCATCTCAATGTGAATGGAGCTAATCACTAATGCAAATTGCAATCAGAGGGGCATATCTCCAACTAACTGAGAGATAATTGCACGATTGTGCAGATAACAGAAGGTCAAACGCATGCAGCTCTCAAAGTGATCATCAGAAACGCACACGTGCATCTTTTCACTACGATGACTTTAAGGCCAAACGTTTCTAATGATGGAGGTCGTAACGCAATTCGGCAGATGGAAAAGGTGAAACTGCAGCATTGATCAAAACAATATGAGTTTTTTTTTAATGCAGTAAAAATAAAGCCGGCTGTCAGGGGAGCCATCACCATTTCTCCTTTTATCACCTCTTATTGTCTTGGAGGGGGGAGGGTGATATTTGAGTGTCTTTTGTGGGAGCTGTCTCGAGCTGTGTGGCAGGAGCGCCCTCTACTGCACTCACCGTGGGATCTTGAAGAGAGCTTTAACTGGATGCATCTCAGCCAGCGGGGGGTCGCCATCTGCAAGCTCGATGGCTGTGATGCCAAGAGACCACACATCACAACGGGCGTCGTACGAGGAGTCGTACTGCTGCTCGCAGGCTATGACCTGGCAACATAGCACAATTTGAACAACTCATTTAGGTTGTCACAGAGTCCATTAACTATCTATTCCTCCAAAACAAAAGGCAAAGAAGTGAGATTGTTGAATTTACTCAACCCCTTTATGCCCAGTTTTTCTAATAAAACACACATTTATTAATTTATATCTTTCTCTGATATCCAGCTCACTCATTTACAGCTAGAAGGATCCAGCAGAGATTATTTAAAGCCCATTTAAGCACTCAAAGAGGTTGTTTCCGTAGCTGCAGGAGTGAGCTCCTCTTTTCCACAGTCAATAATTATAAGTGACATTACATTTTACAGCTGAGTTTATTCTAATTGCCCCTGAGGTCCCTCCCGACCAGCCCAATCACCGCACCTCATTTCTGCCAAAGAGTGAGCCGAGGGGCCTCAGACTCCCAGCTATTAACCTTGAAGCAACCTCAAGAGCTGCACCCGTGGAGGAGAATAGGAGCAGAATACACAATGACATGCTAGAATAAGTGAGGAGTTATTTCCCTGTCCCTCAGTGGGTTAAATGAATCCTTTAAGCAATAAAATATATTGTTTGAGATGCACGCATGTGTGTAAAACTCTGACCTCGGGAGCCATCCAGAACGGCGTCCCGACTGATGTGTTCCTCCGCAGTCGCGCGCTGGTCAGTTGAGCTGAAACACCTTCATAAAATGTGAAAGAAATTTAAGTTATATTGATATATTTTTTTAGCTCTTATTGTAGTAGGCTTCTGAATCAGACCCTAAATGTTTGTATTAATCGATAAATCTGAGTATAAAGTTCAGTGTGGCAACCTGCCAAGCTGTAATAATAATGGGCTGTAATCATTTCAAATTATGTAGGACAGATTTTTATCAGCATGAGTCCACTTCATCTCCGTGACACACATGGACATAAACATGCCTGGGGAGACCGGGGGGGGTGGGTTCAAAGTCATTTTCCATAGCAGCTTTCTTTTAATATGCAAAGCATCAAATAATGCATTTTAAATTAGCAATAATAGCCTTGGGTTAAGGCTTCGGTCCATGAAATAAAAATATGTTATGGTGAACGGGGGGGACTAAAGAAAATGGAGCACATCAAATGACTTGTTCTGTCGCTGTTTGCTGTTGCAGTCAATGTTGCAGGGGGTGCACAGCTAAAACTTTCCAAAAATCTGTTATAAAAATAACTTATTCGTTTAACAACGTCCCTCTTAATTCACTTTCTGAAAGGTTATTACCAAAGTCAACTAGTTTGACTCCCCCTGCCGTTGTCAGGAGGATATTGTTGCCTTTGACGTCACGATGGATGATCCGATTGTTGTGCAAATGCTGGAGACCCTTTTAAATTACAAAACAGACAGCATTAATGCTCCATCAAGAAAACACATTTGTATAAATTGTTTAAATGACAAAACAGACAGCATTAATGCTCCATCAAGAAAACGCATTTGTATAAATTGGAGCAGGAGCCATTAAAAGGTGAGCAGCACAAACTACACATTTATGTGTCCTGTTATGATATTCTGCACTCCACTACCTGTTTAACACGAGCTGCTGTGCAGAAGGCCGTCTTACCAAGAGGGCGCTGTATAAGATGTATGAGATGACGGGTTCCTGCAGACGCTGGCCGCGCATGATCAGGCTTTTGATGAGTTCGGTGACGGAGCCGCCGTTGCACAGCTGGGAGGGACACAGAGAAAAACCAATGACTCCTCCGTCACTCACCAGTCTAAATTATGATTCATGGGGAGGGATTGCTCGCCCACACAAGTCAGAGAGAAAAGGCAGTCTCATAAGTCAGCATGATAAAAATCAACGGTATTCAAGGAAGGTTGCTCCGGACCGTATATTTCTATACTACTATAAATTTTTACTTTTTGTTGTAAAAACATTAAAATATCCAGTATTTGATAGAGAATGTGAAGACTGCGGAGACCACATGAATTGTTGTGTATGTAAACAACATTATACAACGCCCAGGTCTTCTAAATGTTTATTATAAGATAACCTTTCTATGCCATAAAGTGAGTTTGTTGTCTAGTAAAGTAAATGTGTTGTTCCATTTGAGAAGTTTGTACATGCTTCAGATGTGGTGGAATTTAAGCAAGTTTTGTACTTCAAGGAACATGGTTTTGTTTAATTGTAGAGTAGTCAATTATGAGTAGTAATTATGAGAGTAGTCAATATCTTACTTGCAGTAGACAAGAATCAGAAGTGTCTCCGTTTGGAGAAGCTGGGAAAAATCATCATGGAGGAGTCAAACTAAGTTGATTTTTCACTTTGTTAAACAGATTCAACTTGAGTTTTAGCAAATTAAATGCTGTTTTAATTTGCCCCCCCCCCCCCCCCCCCAAAAAAAAAAAAAACCCAACAAAAAACAAAAAAAAACAATCACTTTTGCACAAGACAGTTTCTTCATTGTTGCACAAAACAATGTTTGTGATGGTAGCATGAGTGGCTGCCCTGATCCAAACTGTGAACTGTATTATCCTTCCATAAATAAACAAGACTCATAGTTAAGTTAATCTCATTGTAAAACAGCAACGACATAAATTAAAAACAAGTATTTACAAAAGCAAAGATAATGTAACTAACGCAAAAACAACATACCTATTAGAAAGAGCAAATGGTATCTATATGAACCAGGTGAACTCAGTGGATCAGTGGAAGGGTTGTTTTTAGTAGCCACACTATGCTGGCATAAATTATTTTGTAGATAAAAAAAAAATGCTAGACGGCAATAAATAAATAAATAAATAAACAAAGGACAGAAAACTAATGCAAAAATTACAGTTTATATAAATATATAATGTAGCATGACCATAAAATGCTCAGAAATCTTACATTTGAGCTTTCCTACATGGTGGAAACTTGTTCTTAAATGTACTCTCTCTCTGCTAGCTTGACTCACTTGAACATCTACAAGATTCTTCAAACTGAGATGGCTTCCACTGCAGGTAAGATACTTACTAACAACAGTAACGGCTGATTCGTACCTGACGAGACATAAGACATCTGTTCTCGCTCACATGGTTGAGAGATGTTCTTTTTCGCAGCGACATTTTGTAATCAAAGAGAGACTGCAGTGAGAACTCCCTCCCACTGTCCTCCCACTGCAGCGCACGTCACGTGCAAACAGAAACAACTACACAGCGACAGCATGATTGACAAAGTGTAGGTCTATTTTCAGTTGATGATGGAGAAGATCGAAGATAATTTTGTATTTCTGTGTTTGACAGAGGAGAAGGGCTAATTTTCTAATTTGTCATGAAGAGATGGACACCATTTCTGACAGACGGTGTGGAAACGTGCATACACTTCACAGCCGAGACGTATTCCCCACGCTCGACAGCAAAAAAATTAAACTAACTCCTAACCATTTCTATAAGTTTTATCTGATTATCTTTATAAGTTTGCAAGGAAAGCTGCAAAAATGGCTGCATTTTCTAACAGCCTCATCCAGCTGCTCCTTGGAGAAGCAGTTGAAGATGAACGAGAGCACCTGCTTTTCCACACAAACAAGCCAATGATGCTCCGACCAATGACATGTTACGTTCCACATCCCCTCGCGAGAAAATGTGTCTGCGGGTTGTGCACAGAATGCGCGCTCAGGTGCGGTTCAAGAACAAAATGTGGAAAAAGTTTGGATCTTCTGAAGAAGCATAAATCCACCTCAAATCTCTCCAATGTGCAAGACAGGGAATCAGCTCAAACACCTGCCATGAACTTTGATTGTTTTTGCAGTTTTTTTTGCTTTTTCATAGATGTAGTCAGAATAACATTAGCTTGCCTTATTAAAAACTTGAGGGCATCTTTAAATACACAATCACATTTTAAAGGAAAATAAACTTATTTGCATTCTTGACATTGCTTGTTTAATGATTATATCAATGTTTGCTACAAAAAAATGCATCCTAAATTTCTACATATATACTTAAAAAACAAAGATGTGCTATGTGTGGGCAGATTTTCAGCCATTCCAGTCATGATTATTATTCCTTTATGTTTAAATAGAAAACAGTTATATGTTTTATTAGTTACTGAAGCTGCTTCACCCCTCCGCCTCCTTTCAGTTCAAACTCACTAACGGCACGCGTCCAGCTTTGAGCCTTTGTTGACATTCACAGCTTAAGAGTCACCGACATCACATGACCTCACCCAGTCATCTTAGAGGCTCTTTGGTTCATGTGATATCTCACAAGACAACAAAGCGGGTAAACACCGTACACATAAAAACAACCAGAAAGTTTACAAGATGTTGAATGTGCCAAATAATTGGGAACATAAGTGACTTTTAGGTGTGTGAGCAAAGTGAATATAATTTTATTTTTTTTAAACGTCACCTCGAGCACCAGCCACAGCTGTCCTCCGGACGAGCGGTCTGATTTGTAAAACATGCCGTAAAACTTCACCACATTAGGGTGGTTGGACAGGGATCTCAAAATGTTATATTCGGCCTCGATCTCCTCGTCCACATCCTGTAAAAAGCATGAACAAACATGCAAAGTTTAGAGGTTTACAAAAAGTGCAACATTAAGACGGAGCTTTAGGGCCACGCTAAGAAAAAAATAAATAAAAGCCATAAAATTACAAGACGAAAGTCCTAATATTACGAGAATAAAGTCGTACAAGACTTTTTCCCCCCACGAGTCAGATCCACAGCGCGACCTGTCAATCAATCCAGTAGGTGTGTCAGCAAATGACCAATCCGAAGCTAAAGGAGTCGTAATATTATCAGAACTCCGACACATAAAACAGGGTTTATTGTATTTTAATTGGTAAAATGAAGAATGTTGAGCAAATTATACTTTGGTATTGGTTTTACAAATAAGAAGATAGTTAATCTGTCATCAGCATCAGATTATTATCAGTATCAGGACCTTGCACCTGCTTACAGTAAAGTGGTACGCTCTGATGGGCTGCAGCACAGCTCTGCAGGTAAGGAGCATTTAGCTTCGGATTGGTCATTTGCTGACACGCCTACTGGATTGACTGACAGGCCGCGTTGTGGATCTGACTCGTGGAAAAAAGAAATGAGAGCTAAAAAAAAGAGTCTCGTACGACTTTATTCTCGTAATATTAAGACTTTATTCGACTTTATATAAAGCTCCGTCGTACAACATGACTAACAAGTTTACGTGTTTTAACTTTAGTGACAGTGCAACTTTGGTGTTTGAACTAGAAACCTAAGGATAGAGTTATAAGCTAGTAATAAAACAGAAATGGGCTGGTGAGCTAAACTATTTCTGGAGGCAATTTTCTATCAAAGTAAATCTCAGAGGGAGGGAAGATCCACAGCCGAAGAAGCAGAATTTCTCCTCCTGGATGTCTGACTGATTGTGTCAGCAGTGTAATCAGGCAGAGGGATGGGAGAGGAGGCAGCTTCATCTTCTCAGCCATCAGGGGAGCATCATTCTGCCAGGATGAGGGTTCTTCTGCTGACACAATCACAAGCATGTCTCCGGCCAGGCCTCACTGCTACAGTCTGCTGCCAGCGCAGGCTCTACAGCGCCCTTATCACCCAGACAAATGAGCGGACGTACGGAGAGGAAACAGCCAACTCAGGATCTACTGTTTCTGTTAAGAGTGTGCTCGACAGGAAAGAAAGTAAAAAGGGGGGTGTACTGACATACATCACAGAGGCAGGTACAGAAACAATTGCATCAAGATGGAGGGAAGGAATAAAAAGAACTGGCAACCTACTCTGTTTGAAGGGCTCGAATGCTGAGACAAGTCAGAGAGTTACAAAGAAAAACAACCGCTTTAGTCAAGTTTTTTCCACCTCTGCTACGTTAACAAGGACTTTTGCTGTCACAGCAAAACCCTCAACTATGAACGAGTACAAAAAGAAAATCACTAAAAGATCAGAATACAACATATAAACAAACATGGCCATAGTTTTAACTCAAACAGTTTTTGTGAAAAGTTTTAAAAATCTACAGGAATCGTGAGATTTAAATTTTCAGATAAGGTGATTGTAAAAATAAAAAAATAAAAAAATGTTATTTGACTAAATCTTATGTTTATGGATTCAAAATGTAGAAGAGTCTCCTAGAAATAAGTTGTGCTTCTAAATGATGACACTTAATACATCAGTGGTTCACAATTTGTGCTTCAGTGCCCTCTAACCCATCACAAGAAGACAATTACCATTAATACAAAGTTATAGAATTAACAATAAAACCAAGACTCTTCAGGCACGTAAGAAGCACTGCTGCAGAACCAGACATTTTTTAAAAATCTTTTCATTTATAATACTTATTTTGTTCAATGCCGTCATGTTATGTATTGATTTGTTGAGCAGGAGCTCGTCTTTCCCAAACTTTAAATAAAACGAGTTTCATCTCCTCTGATGAAATTAGGCTTCTATTTTTCTATTAAGGTTATGATGATAATGATGCTCGTGCAAACTGCAGCACCATAGCCCGAGGGAAGTAAGGGTGCAGAGGGTGCTGAAGCACAGCCTGATTAATGTCAGAGGACATGCATGTAACACTGTAACAGAATTAAAAATAATAAAAATGAATAAAAACAGATTTCATTAGTGCTGCATATGTTTAAATTCAAATCACATTTTATTACTGTTGTATAAATCTGGTAAAAGCACCTTTAGATGTTTCTTAAAAACTTTACAACCACCTATAATAATGATTTAATGATGCTACAGTGACTAGCATAATACAAATAAAGGAAAAAACAAATACCCGTTAAACAATCTTTAAGAAAAGTCACTCACATTGATCGGGTCCAGCACTTTCACCGCCGCCTGGCTCCCGTCCTTTTTGTTGGTCACTCTGTAGACCTTCCCGTACGTCCCTTTGCCGATGGTTTCTACTATGTCCCAGTTATCCGAGGGATCGCCAAGGTTCTCCAGGCCAATCATGCTGGACTTATAGGGATACACTCCATAAAGCTGCCTCCTGAAGAAATAAATCTTGGATAAGCCGTGTTTTGTCAAAACATTGTGACTGTTTAATAAGGTGGGAACAGTTCATCCCTTTTTTAGTGCCTAATACAGAAACAGTGAGCTTGTTGGGGATGATTGAGCCATACGACACAGAGAGTCAACCCTGTATACTGTCACAGTTAATAAAACACATGGTATGTTCTTTAAAGTCACCAAGAAACAGGTAAATAGAGACAAAGTGCTGTGCTGGGATAGTGAAAACAGCAATTCAGCCTAAAGTAAAGAGCACTTCCATCATTAGAGCTACTTTACTACTTTAACGCAAAGAAAACCAAAGCAGGAGCACCATCACCAGCTGCAAACATAGAGGACAGTAGTAGTACTCACATGCCAAGTGTTATCTTCTTTTGACTCATCAGGACTGAGAAAAGTTACAACTAAAGAGTCTCTGGTGATCATAATAGAACGACACCAACAGCAACAGCTTCCTCAGGAGGACGGGCAACAAGTGCTGTTTCATGCAGCCACTGAATTAGTCATCTCCGCGGGGACTCTGCCACTGCCGTGCACACTAAGAACAGCAATCTCCTACAGATCAATTGGATTGGACAGAGATTACCTGTCCTGAAGCAGCAAACCGGAGCCACACCTCCAACCAAGAAGCGTCATGCAGCGATTATCAAGTAAACTGTTTTATAAAGTCCTAAATGTAATAAAAATTAATGTAGCTTCCTTGAAATTTTTTTTTCTAAATACCGTATTTTTCGGACTACAAGGCGCACCGGATTATAAGGCGCATAAAGCGAAACAAAACAGTCAGATAAGTCAAACTTTATTCAACTCATTCACAATAACTACATAAAATCAGTTTGAGGTCAGTAAGCACAAGCTGATTATAAGGCTCACTGTTCATTTTTGAGAAAATTAAAGGATTATAAGTGTGCCTTATAGTCTGAAAAATACGGTATGTTTTGTGACTACTGACAGTGCACAACAGAATCAAACAGCTGAAACAACACGATCGGTTTAAAAACGTGCAGTTTCTATAAGATGTCATATATTTCAGAACAACGAGATGGAGAGCGATGTTTGTTTCCTCTGGTCGTAATCGTGTTAATGCATCACAGAAACTGTGCGACCCTGAGTGAGCGGAGCCCTTTTTTTATTTTTGGTGATCTGAAAACTGATGTGAAAAATTAGGTTTAAACCCATCATATGAAGACAAGTGTATGAATCGCACGTCGGCAGAGTCGAATATGCAGCACAGCTGATGTCCATCATTTTACACTGTGCACGTAAATAAAATGTAACAAATAACTCATACTTTTCATCTGACTAATAACCCATCACTGATTGAATAATGCATCACTTACACAACAGGATCAGACCAGCTCATTTAACTTTATTACTGTTGTTTTGTAGTGGACTCCCAGTGTGGGGCACACAGCCTGCTCCCATCACACCTCCACAAACATCTAAGGATCAGCAGCAACTTTCAGTCTCTGATGACCTGCAAATATCATCTTCAAAAAACTTTATAAATATGTGTAAACCAGACAAAGACGACCACTGTTAAACGCCACGTCATTTTAAAGCCTAATTTGTAATGTTGTTTATTAATGAATTTTTAATTAAATAAATCTTGAAAACATCCACAACTAGGCATTATCTTAGCAGCTCGCATGATCTCTCCTACTCTGACCATCAATCATATAAAAAACACTTATATCCTGGAGATAATCTAACAACGCCAACATTTACACAAACATCCATAATAATTCACTTACATTTATTAATAATTTAAGATAAAAAAAAAGGTTCAGATAAAAGCAGCACAAACTAAACATACCTGCTTCTGTGAAAGTGTCACTTGCTGCCTCCTGTCAAACTGCTCTAGACTAATTTAGACAATCTACAGGGATTAATAATTTACCGGTAATCTGCAGCCTGATCTGCAGCTGTGTTGAATTATTCAGGCAGCAGATGTAGCCATTCATATGGCGGCTGATATGAAGCACCTCAGGTTGCAGGCTCGTAACCAGGAAGTTTGTGATGGTTACTAGGTCATGTGACCTCTGTCTGTCTGTCTGTCCTCGGCAGGTGAGTCTTTACACGCTCAGCTGCTGCTACTTCACACGTCACTGTGATCACACAGCTTTAAAACTCACATTGTTCAGCAGAAATCAAGACAATTTGGAGCTGCGTTTGTTCAATATATGCTTGGATAAAGGTGCTGTGGCTCCTCAGACAACTAAGACAGTTATCCATTTATTATAGTTGTTTTTTTAACAAGTTTATAACTTTTGAGATGGAGAGTTCAAATGTTTCTATGCGATGATCTCACCTTACCTGTCCCCATCTTGTAGGCGTAAAGAGATTATTTTTTTTGTGTTGCAGCAAAATAACTAATAAAGAACGAAGTTTATTGAAATAAGATTTAAAAAAAATGTAAACAGCACATTTTTTTTGTTTAAAATAGCATATCTCTTGGATTTAAAAAAAAGTATAATTGCCTAGGATTTTACATTTGCAAGTGTTTTAGAAAATCAAAATGTTGCTATAGTGCTTTAAAAAAATTTAACGAGTCAAAAGACTCATTTGAAAGGTCATAGTTATTAGCATGAATTTAGTACAAGTATGAACTAAATTAGATTTTTTCTTGACACCAGTTTCCTGATATTATTGATTATAAGCTAAAAATACAGCAGAAGTCTGAAAAGAAAAATGAACTAGAAATTGACTTGTTTTTAACATTACGTCTGCAAAAAGATACAGCAATAAAGACTGCATGCAAACTTTTTTGGGTTTATTTGTGGTGGCAGCTCACAGGAATATTACAGACAATTTAAAACATATTAAACTTTTTTTTAAAGCATTACGTGGCACAGTGTTAACTGTAAAAAATATATCTGATAAGAGCTGTTGTGTAGGATGCATAAAAAGCGAAGAACCAACGTAAACACTGCTCTTTATATGTCCGGTGAACTGAGGTACAGAACAGGACACCACCGGTGCTCCACAGCACGGCTCGGGTTTCTGTTTCCAAGATTATCAGTGTGGCTCAAAATAGGAAGTGAGATCTAATCGTTAAAAAAAAAATATATATATATATATATATATCCATATATTGTAGAGGAACATATGCATGAGATATATTCATCAATTAAACGGATTCTTTCATTTTTCTGGACTGTATAATGTACGTGCATTGAATCTAATAAAATGTGGACGGAAACGTTAATTATCTTTGACTCACCAAGACAGTGGGTCATTTATTAACATAATCAAGTTTAACACATCACACATTTACATTAATTGGCAAAATATGAAAAATAACAACATGGCTAGTTTAGCAAACTGTACAATTTTGATTATCCACACGGCGGTGGATGAGAACTTTACACAGATATTTCTAAAATATCTGGAGTGATTTCTACTTGATAGAAGAATTTTAAAGATGGAAGATGAAGTTTAGAGGGAGAAAAAGATGGGTGAGGGGGTTTGTTTATGTCGGCACCAGAAACGACACTCTCCGGGCTTTTCTCAGCTTCTTCCCCAGTACACTTAGGTGATAGAATCAACTCTTTTACCTGGAGATGTCCCCACCGGTACGAAAGTCCATTCAACGCACCCTTTCAGCGTCTCCGTAGGAACAGCTGTGAATCGTCCGAAGTAGTGACGGTATTCCGTCCGACACAGGTTCACCTCACGAGTGGACTTCACATGAGTGGAGTCCGTCAGAGTTCCACCCAGAGGTGGAAGATGTTATAATCCCATAAGACTCGGAAGAGCTCTGTGGTCATGTCAGGATTTTCCTGTTTCCCAGCACGGGAGCTGCAACGACTCTCGACACTCTCCGCCACTCTCCAGACACTCTGAGACTCTCTGAGACTCTGTGAGACTCTGTGAGACTCTGTGAGACTCTGGTTTAAACTAGGAAGTACCGACATTTTAAAGAGCTCTATTTCTATTTTTGTGACGTAAGAGGTTACTAGAAGTCAGAAAACAGCAAGAATGTTATGGAACAGATTGAAAATGTTTTTCAGACAGACGAGAGAAATGTTTGGACGGGTTGGCGGAAAACAGCTGCCAACTTCTCTATTTACGTCTGAGAGGATGTAAAAACACGACAGCTTGTTCCAACAACTGGTCTGCATTCGACTCCGACCTTGGACCACTTACACTTGCTCATTCAAAGACAGAAAATCAGAAAATGCATAATTACTCTGTAACAGACCTTAACATGAATTTTAACTTTGCATGAGGATTAAAATTATTATTACTGTTTCACAGTTAATAAAAATTGATTAGTTCACTACAACATCTAAAATGGTTTGAACTAAAACACTTTGATTATCAAACATTTGTAAAATAGTAATGATAATAAAAAAGAGTGTTCTTTCACTTGAATTTTCAAGAAAGAAAGTCTCAGGATGGGTCAACCTGTATTTCTGGATTCAAATCAATGAAATGACAGTTCCTGTCCCATATGGTGCCTAAGGTCAAGGTTTTGACCTTCAGGCTTAGTTCACTACAATATAAATAAATAAAAAAATCACAATATTATACCAATCAGTTGTAAAGAAACAAACTCTTTTGTCTTGTAAGAATAAAAATGTCTATTTCTGTTCACATGTTTGTGTTCTATAAGCATCAGTCTAAGGAAAGATTTAATGTGGCAACAACTGCTGAACATTTCTATCACACAAAAAGTGAAAGGAAGTAATCTTATTTTCTGCTTCCATCAAGCTCAAACAATTCCACCTCGTGTGATAAAGACTCATGGGAACTCCACTTGGTAAACCCTTTAGGTCTGCAGGGAGGGACGGAGAGAGAGAAACTATAATCCTTTTTAAGGGGATATGAAGAGGCTTTACAGTAAACCTCCACAGCCGGGTTTCTTCGCCCGTGTCCTTGTTCTCACCCGACCAACGTCTCTGTCACACGACCAGACAGACTCATTTTTCCTGGCTCGTTAGCAGCACAACGCCATGCTTAATAACCACACAGGTGCAGGACAACACAGAATACACACATCAACATAATAAGGGGGAAAACCCAACAACCTCATCACAATCAATCTAAAAATCACAGCTAGGAATTAATCTGTCATCTAATCACAAACGTCACAGCTGCCTCCCTGTGATGCGTTTGAGTGCAATAAAGACACATTACAATGAGTAAATGCAGCACAACTGACAAACAGGTTATATTCTAGTTGGTTTTGCAATAAAGCCTAAAACAGCCATAACAAAAAAAATGTTATTAGTCATGCAATTTAAACCCCTAAAAGCCCATTTAACTATTGAAACGTTCAAAGCATTGAAAATATTTGAGAACTTGGGTCCTAAATAATAAATTTGAGCTAAAAATGAATTTAATTTAACAATGACTGCATTTTGAACACAAACTCTGTATTTTATATTAAGTTCACATTAGTTTATTGTCACATGTATCAGAGACATTGACATGCAGAACTATTACATTCTATTTCTATGGCTCTTCTGAGGTTGACTGAGGTTTTAGTTTTTGGACCTGAGCAGCTTAGGAGTAAATTTTTCAGTGTTTCTCCCTCCTTGGATGACTTTAATCTGGCCTCCAGCTCTGATTTTAAAAGTCTTGGTGTTATTTTTGATCAGGACATGTTATTTATCCCCCACATTCAAAACGTTACTAGAACCGCCTTCTTCCACCTGCGTAATATCACTAAAATTAGAAACATCTTACCTAAAAATGATGCAGAAAAACTGGTTCATGCATTTGTCACGTCTAGAATGGATTATTGCAATGGTTCGTAATCTGGGTGTCCAAATACTTCTTTAAAATGTCTTCAGTTAATCCAAAATGCTGCTGCCAGAGTCTTAACTGGAGTTGGTAGGAGAGATCATATCTCTCCAGTTTTAGCTTCTCTCCATTGGCTCCCTGTCAAATCCAGAAATTAATTAAAAATCTTACTTCTTACCTACAAAGCCCTCAAAAACCTAGCTCCATCTTATATTACAAATTTTATTGTTCCATATTTTCCTAACAGAGCACTTCGCTCTGAGACTGCAGGCTTACTCGCAGTTCCTAGAGTTTCCAAAAGAAGAATGGGAGGAAGATCTTTCAGTTATCAGGCTCCTCTCTTGTGGAACCAACTTCCAGTTTCTGTCCATGAGGCTGACACATTGTCCAGTTTTAAGACTGGGCTTAAGACTTTCCTTTTTGATTAATCCTATAGTAAGAGTTGACTTGCTATAGGCTTATACTACTAGATGACAAATTGACCTCATTTCCTTAAATGAATTGTTAAAATTGAATAGTTTTCATTTGATACTGTTTCTATCTTAATATGATTCTTGGCCTGCCATTGTGTATCTGTTCCTCTCAAATCCAGCCGGTCGAAGTAGATGGCCACTTGTCCTGAACCTGGTTCTGCTAAAGGTTTCTTCCTCATGAGGGAGTTTTTCCTTTCCACTGTCGCCTTCATGCTTGCTCAAGATGAGAGTCTGTGATGAAGTTAAATTCAAAGCAGTCTGCTCCTCAGACAAATAATGTTAAATTATTATTTTTATATATGAATGTTTCTGTTCAGTGCCCTGACATGACTATTGTTGTGATTTGGCGCTATATAAATAAACTGAATTGAAATTAATCTAATCATTTTTATCAAATGACAAGAATTAAAGAGTATAAACTGTAAAAAAGATGCTAGACTCTTTGTAAGTCATGCAAATGGAAAATTTATGATAGTTTTACTATTAAACAGTGACTGCATTTTGGACTTTTTTTTTATTCTTATAAACAGCTAAATAACGATTAACTTTACAACGACTAAAACAAGGAACAACTTTTAAGATTTTTATTTATTTTTTGTTAACCTGACGCAGTTTGAAAGACATCCGAGCGCTTCACAAGTTCAAAACATAAAGAAGACAAAAAAAATTGTAACTGTTGACTGAACTACAGCTTTATTATTCAGTAACACAAACATCCTTAAACTTGTTTGCAAATTTTAAGATATTTTTGTGAAAAACTGTTAAAATATGGATCTGTATCTTATAAAAAGTACCTTTTTAAACAAACAAACAAATATGTATATATATATATAT